TGGAAAGAAGACAGGAAATAGGACTTTGAACATCTCTTTCCACAATATTTAAAAAATTCTAAGTTCACAAAAACCGTGAATTACTCACGAATGAAAATGGTCAGAATCACTTGAAATCAGAAATGCGTGAAATGAACTAGAAAAACTACAGAATCAGTCTATAAAAAAATCAAATAGTGACAAACTGTCAACTAATTGCACATCCCTCTTCATAATTGCACTCTTTTAGGCATCACCATTTTCATAAGGGCACTGTTGCTCAAAAAACGGATAATTCTGATTGGCCCGTTTGACCACCTCCCGCTCAACCGTGAATTATTCACGGTTATTTTAAAAAATTCACGGTTCTTCTCGCCATAGTGAATATTCAGCTCTTCTTAATAAAGAATCTAATTTGCAAGTCATGGACTTAATAGGCTTTTTCAATAACACTAAAGCTGAATACAACATCTATGATGCGGTATTGAATTACGCAATAAGGAATGATGTGATCTTCATAAGGTTTTGATAGCTCACAACTGTTCACTAATGTAATCTTTTCTCTGTCCCTCACTAGTAACACGGGTCAAGAAGTGTAACTTGTATAAGAAAGGAAACTGAAACCCTTACCATTTCGTCTTAGCTCTCATACATCGATCAGCTACAACAAGTATTTAAAGCGACTTCAATTCTTTGAAATAGATAATAAAATAAAAAGGAATTATATTTTCATTTAGAACAGAGAATAAAAGTGTCTCAAAGTATTTCTTGTGTGCTTTTATTTCTAATTTTGATAGTAAGATTATTACACATATCTATATACGGGCAGAGTTTGGCGGTAATTGGAGTTGAATTCATAGAGAGCAAGGCCGGGACTTCCCTTTTACACGCGCCGACGATCTCAATTAACGACGTAACTTGGGACTAAACAGTGTCTTCTTACCCTCTTAGGAATGTTATTAAAGCCAATAAGAGACAGAGGTAACTCTTAAACGAGGGCGTAAAATAACTATGCCTAAAATACGGCTACAAAAAATTTTTAATAAAAGTTTATAATTTATTTAGATTATAATTCATCTGTAAATTTTGTATTATATTATATATTTTTACTTTTATTTAAAACAATTTGTTTTTTGGTGCATAAAAATTTTTAACATATAATGGCGTATATATTTATATGTAGGCGTAATAAGGCACGATCATCATCATGCGTGATAGTGTTGTGCCTATGTATAAGCCTAGACGAAAACATAGGATTTTTTAAAAGTCTGTGTCGTATCCGAACATAAACTTCAGCATATTCTTACATATAATGTCTAACATTAACATTACTACATTATCAAAATCTCAGTACTGAGATCCCCACATGCAATAGTGCTGTCCCTGTCTCCTAGGTTACACTATAATAAGGACTAACTAAGCCACTGGTATTTATAAAACCCAAGTTTTAAATTAATAAAGGATTTAGTTCAGTTTTACTGTACATTACCATCTCGACTTTTTGCGAACATCACAAATGGTTTATAAGACACAAGACAAAAATTTATTATTAATCTTCATTCTGAGATAAAGACAGAAGGAGCATGCAATTAAATAAAGGATCTACTATTTATAGTTGCTATCAAATAGCTGATAAGCCAATATTCTAAGCGTGGATTTTAATTATTGAGAATATGGTTGACTAACATTTCATGATCTGGGTTATGTTACTGCTTTTACCATAAGAAGGATAATCTTTTAAAGAAGTGTATCCTTTTATATAAAGAAGTAACGATTCATATTCAAAAGAGAGATTCTGTGTAATTTGACTTACAGTGACTCAAAAAATTGCCCACATGTTTACGTGTTTTTACAGTAGTTACAAAAATACGAGCAACCTTTTCTTATTTTAGCTTTGCAGAGTGTCCGAGGCTTAAGCAACTGTATTCTCATTCTCATATTGCTCATGATAATACATTAGCCCCTACTGATAATATTGGTACTGTCGTGTTTATATAGATCACACATCTCTTAATTCTCTATTCATTCATTCTCAGCTAATAGACGACGTCAGACATTTACAGTCGTCATCCCTCATATATATTCAGGTCGTACCCTCATTTATTAGTTCTTTTCTCAGACTTATAATAAAAATAGTAATTGTTAGCTATTGACTCTTCACTGTTTTACAACTATATAAGCATAAATATCACATTTTTTTCAATAAGCAAAACAATCACTACACTAATTCAAAAGATGACCAACACTCGTTCTTCTCGCGCTTCTAGCACCTCAAGCTCTCTTTCCAGTGCTTCTTCTCTCTCGTCCGCTTCTCGTTCTCCTTCGCCTGTGGCTTCAATTGGCTCAGGTCCTTCAAACCGTCCTGGCTCTCCTTCATATGCGGAGATGGCTAGACGCTCTCCATCGCCCATCCGTCGTCAAGGATCCACCATCGACATGGAGCGACAATTCACGGCGTTGTCTTTAAAGAAGAGCATTCCTTCTACTGACAACAGTAGTCAGAAGCCCGTTGAAGAGGACGCCGTAATGGCGGAATCTTGTGGGGAATACACCCCTGATGTGCGTGGTACGGTCTCCACATCGAACGAGAATGTTGAGCAACAACATGAGGATAGTGAGGAGGCTCAACTTGCTAAGTTGAAAGGGATGCGTCGCAAAGTGACGATCGCGATTGAAGATCTTTTTCTTCAAAAGTTGAACGAGACGAGCACTCGTAAATTAAAGCTCATTGAGGACAAAATGGCCGGTCTTCGTAAAGATCTTGTGTTCTTTGAGGGGCGTATTGCCGAAACTCAGAAGTTGATCAGTGGTGAACGTGGCAGCACTGCTAATACGCACACCGTTCCTGCCAGGGAAGCTGAACCTGTTGTACCAATGGCGAGCATTCCGTCATTGAGATTGCTCAACGACTCTTCGCGCAATTCGAAGTACTTTGAGTCTAACAAGGCTCATCCTGCTGATGTCAGTATTGATAAGGCATTCAAAACAATTGG